AAGAAAACAAAGACAAAAATTTTTTACAGATAAGTTTCTATCTTCAGAAAACTTTCTCTCTCAATAACGTAACAATAATGTCAAACTATTCTCCCGTAAGAGAGTTTTTTCAATATCACCGCGCTCCAATTCGTGACATCGGCGATGATTAAAGGAAGGAACAAATTACATTTGTTGTGAAAATGCGTCATATTGAACGTCGCTAAACTCAATGTCGAGGTATGACAGGATTATTATTGAGCTATAAACAGTTTATAAAGAAAAAGAACTACGACGTGTGTCTCACAACGTCGTGTTACTCACGACGCGAAATACCGCGTATGTAACGCATCGCACGCAATGTGGCATTCGTCTTGGAAACCGTTGGATTCTTTCCATCATGGAAGCCATACAAGTTGGTTCAAGGCCGTCGAGTGGAACTCACATATATACACACACACACACACGAACATACGACATTGCCGATACATGGCCGCGATCAGCCTGTCTTACTTGTCAATATTCTATTCTGCTTATTTATTTAATCGCGAGTTCCACGTGTACGTGACGACACGTTTGGTTTCTCTGGCGCAAAAAGTTTGCGCAATTGAACATTTGTATTGAAACTTCGGTTTTTGTATACGCGGCATTGTATATTCGACTGCTCATGAAATGTTCAACGAGTTCGATTGCATCACAAAAAAAAAAAAAAACAAATTTGTTACATTTTGAAAGCTGTTTGTCTTCGAAAGAAAAACAGTTAGGAAGACATCGTCGTATTAAAAATTCTTTCTGGCAAACCCGTGTACGCTTCGCACTTGTGGGTGGTGGTACGGAAACACGAAAGAGGAAGCGAATTACGTTTCGTTGCTTATACATTATCCGCGTAACACGGAAAGAGAGAAAAGGGAAGGTCAATTCTTTGACCACATTAATCGCTTAGCACGATTCTGTGACTGCTCATTTAGAGAGCTCGTTCCGTCGTCGCAACAGAGGTCGCGACACGATTATTTATCACACGTCTCGCGAAAATAACTTTGCAGCATAAACGCGTAAAAGGTTCACACATAAGTTAACGCACATGTGTGTTGCGTGATTACATCGTTCGTTATAAAAAAAACTAGTAATATCAAATAGAAGAGAATAAGTATTATATTATTTATTAATCCTTCAGCCTGACGGCCAAGAAGGGAACTTGGTTACATTTCTTACATTTTCTTTTTCTACATATTTCTTATCCTATTACATATCTCATTTTTGCGTACGCATGATATCTCTCTATTATCCTTCCTGCTCTGTCTAATCTCTTCTCTCCTTCTCTTTTCTAACCTACCCTTTGAAGTATATACATACACACAGAAAAATACATACTGTATCAAGTATATAATAAGTTTATATATCCGCAAATATATTATAAGATTTTCGTAAGTATTTAATTTACTCAAAATACAAATTTACTAAGATTTAGAATGTATTTTGAGTAAATTAAATACTTACAAAAATCTTATAATATATTTGCGGATATATAAACTTATATACTTGGATACAGTATGTTTTTCTGTGTGTACAAAGTATCACAGCTTTGGTTAGGTTTTAATTTACCCTATCTTATCTTACACACACGTCCTCTTATATTCCTCCCTCGCGGGCATATTTCATATATTACATATATTACATATATTTATATTACGTATATTACATATATTACATCATCTTATATTACTCTGTTTTTCTTCTTTTTAGAAGAGAATAAGTAAAATTTCCCTCAACATGTACTATTTCTCTTCTATTTTCTAATTAGTATATCTCTTTGAATAAAATAAAAGCAATGTTTAAAAAAGATTACCGTAAACATGTCATGCGCTATCGTATCATTAAATATGTGTATAAAAAAACTAGTTGTTTTACAACTTTACAAATTTGTTTTACAAATTTACAAGTTTTACGATTTACAATTTAAATAAATTGTTTACGAAGACTTTCGAACGTTTAGAAAATAGATATTAACTTGAGCGAGATCATCGGTAATATTGATGCTGATTATTACAATTGCTCGTGTGTTGGCAAGAAAAACAATCGAAATTCTTCGTCATTTTTTTAAGCCGACGCGAAGAGGCGGAAGTGCGTCACACAGACGGGAACGTGAATGTAATTTCCCCAAGTAGACCGTGACAACAGTCGATTAATTTGCAAAAAAAAGTGGTTTTTTCGACGAAAGGAGAGAACGGGAAAACCTCGCGTAGGCGAAAAATAAGAACGGACGGGCAATTTTACAAAAATATTTTTTATTAATTTCGCAATATAAACAAATCATTTATGTCAAGTATATAATGCAACAGTTTTACGGATCGTAAGAGTTTGCGAATAATGCGACCTACTTACTCGTTGGTTTCGCAAACGTCATCTTTTGTCGATACCATTCGATATATTACACATTACATTCTCTCTCTCTCTCTCTCTCAATCTTCTTTATCTCTATTGTACTTAACATTGCCGAATATGATAGAAATTTATAGAAAAGAGATAAAACACGTGACGATGTGTACATAAGAAGCACTCGATTTTTAACGTAACGATAATGTCTGTTTAGCACACTTTTATTCTCTCTCTGTTGTAAGATTACGTAAGCTTCGTTGAGCGCACGCAAGAGAGAAGCAAATTCGATACATAATCTACAATATTATATTTGGACCGTTTATTTTTTGAAAGTGGTGTAAGTCCATTTTCTTTTGTTTCGTAAACTAGTTATACATAAATAAAACATTTACATTAAATTAAGCATGAATTACGTGATATCTCATTTTTTTTTTTCAAAAATGGACTTACGCCACTTTCAAAATAAACGGTCCATTTGATACGAACATTGAACCATGTTCGATGTGACATGTGATAAGATACACATTCAACAGAGATGAGTCACTCTCAAAAAACCAATATACGTGAACTCAAAGTATAATGTATAAAAAATATATCTAGCGTCGACGCGATTTGATTTCCTCGTTAAATAAGAAAATTCAGATGTGAAGTTTTTTACAAAAAAATTTCTACCGCAAAATATCAGACTAGAAATGTCCAGAAAATCATCGAAATATTTCGTAATTAGGTTTTGTCTATATATATCGATCGGACACGTTACGTATTTTATATATTTCCGACGTTTCATTATGTATATTTATTTTTAACTTATATTTATAAATTGATTATGTTAGTCCGAGCTAACACACACACACACACACACGTAGAGACGTAACTATCGTACGCATGACGTCGAATCTTGATTTGGAAATAACTTACGTTCACATACGACGTCACTTGGGTTTTTTACAAAATCGAGTCTCTCTCGTAGACTCTCTTTAACCGCGGGATGATTTGTCTATTTTCTATATTCGATTTCGAGAAAAACGCAAGGTTTGTAACAACAACCATGTAACGAATTGTCTCGGTGATAATAATGCGACACGAGTTGCGTGTGTATCGTCGTCAAACCTGTCGTCGATCTCGACCCCGATAGAAAAAAAAAACTCGAAAATTATCTACAAAGCGACCTATTCTCCGATAACTCGCTGCTTTTCACAAATAACTTCTCGTGAGAAAAATTCACAGTCGCTTGTGCCGGAGCAGAGCAACATATAAAAGCAAAAATGACGCTTGTAGTCCGCCATTTTTATTAGAGCCCATAGTATGCGAAACTTCGAGAAAAACTTTCCGAATGCGTCTCTCGTTCGTTCATTCTTTCGGAATATCTTACCGAGAAATTTCGCGGAAAGTGCTAAACATCCGAACGACAAAAGCCAGATTGCAGGTTCGGCGCGCAAAATTTGTTGGAAACCATGTGTGTATTAAAATGTTTCTCAACTGGCAATGGTGTCGTTTGCTGATGTGGCGGCTGGCGTGCCCGGACGCTACAGTTCTCGTAGCTTCGGAACGAATGAAACTGCTCTCTCGTCGGTGTCGCCATCTGTCGGCAAGATTTTCTTCTTACAGTTGCGTCCGTTTCTAATAGATGGCGCCGCGGTATTAAAAATTTGCACACATGAAGCAAAAAACTTAATAAGCAAAATTTCAATTTGAATTTAATATTTAATTTATAATAATAATTTATAATTTAATATTTAATTTATTTAATTTTTTTCAATTTGAATTTAATAAAGTTTATAGTTTGATTTTTCAAATATCTCTTTTTTCTTAATTCTTACACATTCTGAGGTTCTTACGTAAAAAGTAAAAAAAATTTATGAAATATTAATAAAGTTAAACGAATGAATGGGTGAAGGCTCGTGAAAATTGAAACTAAGAATGAAAAGACCGATACGAGCCGTTCCCAGGATGTTTTCAAATTAGTTGGAGGAGTATCTGGGATCTCTCATATATGAGATGCAAATCTAGCTATCCTATATGATTTTAAGAATTGAAATTTCAATTCAAAAAACCCACATGTAAAAATAATTTACATGTGAATTCATACATGTGTATATATATATATACGAGTATACATGCACGCTTATTCCTGCACAACATCCTGGGAACGGCTCGTATTGGCCTTTTCATTATTAATAAAGTTAATTTTACGTATTATTAATAAACAAAGGTGTTATGGCTATTGAAGCAAAGATGTCGATGTGTGAAAGATGAATCAATTTATTGAAACTTAGCGCACAAAACGTTTTCGACCTTGTATTAGGTCTTTCTCAATGCATTTAAAATACTGTAGTAAAATACGTCGCACAGTGCTATCAAGAATGTTTAAGTCGCACAAGCAGACCCACTTTACAAAAAACCGACCAACACTTTACAAAAAAAAAAAAAAAAAAAAAATGCAGTATTTTAAATGCATTGAGAAAGACCTAATACAAGGTCGAAAACGTTTTGTGCACTAAGTTTCAATAAATTGATTTATCTTTCACACATCGACATCTGTGTTTGCTTCAATAGCCATATAACACCTTTGTTTATTAAAAATTCTTAAAGCTATATACACATATCTTTATACATATTTACGTGATTATGATTTTTTTTTGCAGTGCGCGGATTTTGTCAAGGCAGGAGCGGACCAAGGTTTGACACCGTCTGATGTTGTTTTAGCAGCCGATATCACGTTCTCCTGCGTTGCTGATCCTCAAGCCGCCAAAGACGTAAGCATATTCGAAATTCGAATATTTATTTGAAAAAAAACAAAACTCTTTGTTATAAAATATACAAAAATAAAAAATATTATATTTATCACAAATCAAAAATGTCGTTTTAGATGGTATTCGGTAACTGCGGCGTTTTGACGGAGATATCTCCCGACAAAAGCTATGTCGAGATGACTGGCATTGACGCGGAGACATCGCAAGATATCGCCGAAGCGATAAACGGCAAAGGAGGTCGTTATTTGGAAGCGCAGGTGCAAGGAAGCAAAACACAGGCGCAGGAAGGCACTTTGGTGATACTCGCCGCTGGTGATCGATCACTTTTCGATGAGTGTCAGTCTTGTTTCGAAGCAATGGGCAAGAACAGCTTTTATCTTGGCGAAGTCGGCAACGCTTCCAAGATGAACCTTGTGCTTCAATTGATGGCTGGCGTGACTGTGGCGGCTCTTGCCGAGGGTATGGCGCTCGCAGATCGTGCTGGTCTTCAGCAAAGGGATGTTCTAGAAGTTCTGGAATTAACATCCTTAGCCTGTCCGGCGATTCTTGAAAAAGGCAAAGGTAGAGAGAGATAGTTCACTTTGTCCTAGATTAACACAATTATAGCAACATTGTACGCTCTTCTTACTATAACACGAAATATTGCTACTTAACATCTTGATGACAATATTCTTAATGATTTTGAGAAATCAAAAATCTCTTATTCCATCAAGTTTTTTCAATATTTATTATCAAAATAATTGATTGTTTGTTGTATTTCACAGCGATCATCGAAGGCGGTTTCCCTACTCAACTACCGTTGCAACACATGCAGAAAGATTTGAGACTGTCTCTTGGCATGAGCGATCAGCTGGAGCAGCCATTGCCATTGGCTGCTGCGGCCAACGAAGTGTACAAGCACGCGAAACGTCTCGGATACGGTGAACACGATGCTTCGGCAGTTTATATAAGAGCCAGGTTCTAACGCAACATACACATTGCGTTATCACCGAGCTTCTGCTACACCGTATTTATTGCGATACCCGACGTTGTTTCCCGCCACTACTTGAGGAAAACTTAATTGTTTTAAATCTATCTCTCTCGCGCTGAAAACAATTATAAATAATTGATAACAATTATCGTAACTAACTGTATGATAAAAGAATGAGAGAGAGAGAGAGAGAGAGAGAGAGAGAGAGAGAGAG